TGAATGATAAGGAGAAAAATAAGATAAGAAAATGAGAAGAGCAGTGTAAGAAACCCATTAGCTGACTAACACAAATTCCAGAAAGAAAATGAAGAGAAGAAAATTGAGGAAAAGACCAGACCACCTCCCTAAACCAAAGGATACAGTTTCTAGTCTCCATACAACAGCACAATGAGCAACAACTGGAGATCCAGATCATAAAAGACCAGAACACTAGGCCTTCAGAGAACAAGGAGAAACACAAAATAAACAATTCTTACAGAACCAGGTCACCTACAAAGGAAAAGGAAACAGTGTGAATGGCCTTCCCGGAGTAAGGCTGGATGGAGGAAACAGTGAAGCAAGGCCTTCCAGGATCTGAGGAGAGGCCTGCAGGGAAGATCAGAGGACGTGCTTAACTGTGCTTAGCCAGACTAAAGTTGGCAGGAGGGCAAAACCAAACATCTCCTATACACTGAGGCTCAAGAGTCTTACCTCTCAGGCACCCTTTTCTCTCCTGTCTGGGGAACAACTGGAGAATGTAATGAGAAAGGGGGGCACAAAAGAAGCATGAAGAGAAGCTGAAGCTGGGTAACAACATGCATTTGTAATACCAGCAACTCTGGGAGGCTGAGACAGGAGGATTGCAAATTTTAGTCTAGCCTGTGCAACTGGATGCCTTTATGAAAACTTGTCTCAAAATAAAACATTTTAAAAAGAGCAGTAGATATAGCTCAGGGAGAATGCCCTGGACCTAGTTCCCAGAGTTGGGAAAAAAACAGACACCCTGAGCTGAGGTAGCGATGGCACCCAGGAAGTGGGCTGTGGTGGAGAGACAGTGCAAGTAGGAAATGGAATGGGGACACTCAGCAGCAGCTCAGCATGCAGGTGATAGGACAGAGTGAGGCAAGGGGATGACCTTCCACAAAAACCTGTCACTCGCAGATTCAGTGATGTGGTTCCAGTTCTGCCAGTGTTCAGGAAAGGCAGATAATAATGATTTGAGAGAAATCTGAGCAAATTAACAATGCCAGTAATTTTAACACCCTCCCCCCCAGAGGTAGAGCAAAAGAGAATTATCATGCACTGTGTAAACATTTCCCATTGATTTATCCAAAATGATTGTAATGGCACTGAAAGAACAAGGACAAAGAAAATTATATTTTTGGGCAGGCCAGATAGCTCAGCGGACCAAAGCACCTGCTTAGGCAGAGCGCAGTGGCCGGGTTTTGATCCCTGATGTGCTGTGCAGGCCCTGCCCCCAGGGCATGCTGAGAGGCAGTAGAGACGGGGTATAATGGCACGCATCTGTAATCCCAGCTCTTGGGAGGCTGAAAACAGGAAGATCACTATGAGTCTGATCTACAAAGTGAGACCCTGAAGACCCTGTAGGCCCTGTACTATATAAATTTTATTTATTTATTTATTTATTTATTTTGTCAGAACCGGGGATCGAACTCAGATCCTTGTGTTTGCCAGTCAAGCGCTTATCCTACTGAGCCATCTTCCCAGCCCCAATTAAAAAAAAAAAAAAAAGCAAATTTTATTTTTGTTGGGGCATAAAATACTCATCTTCTTCACAGCAGGAAAAAACATTGAGTTGTTTCTTGACACAGTATCGCTACTTGTCTCTAAATAAGAAGGGATGGGAATATAGCTCAAACTCATTTAGAGACAAAAAATTGTATCTGAAATTGAAAACCTATGTAAGACAGCAGGAAAGATTTATCATTTACAGCAGGGATTATCTATTTTTAATATAAACCTGGACTATTATTTCAAACAATTCACATACATTACGAATTATGTTTATTTGGTTAAAAATTAAATTTAGACACAGGCCATGGTGGTGTAAACCTGTAATTCCAACACTTGGGAGGCTGAGGCAGAAGAATTACAGCCTGGGAAATTCAAGGTCAGCCTGAACTACAAGTATAAACAAAAACAAAGCAAAATAAATTTACGGCTGAGGGTGCAGCTCAGTGGTAAAGCACTTGTTGTCTACCATGTTCAAGGCCATGAGTTCTATTCCAGAGATTAAAAAAAAAAAGAAAGAAATTTGAAATGATTAAGATAAGCACAATAAGAACAAAAATAGACCAAAAATATTCCAAGCAGACAGGGAAAATACAGGCACAGAACACAGACAGGAAAGGCACCTGGCTTGGCAGGCTGGGGTCTAGCAGATTACATACCCAGTGGTATACCATTGTCCTCTGCCCTACCTAGTACTTGGAATTTCAAACTTCCTCTCCTGGATGCACTTGCAGCTGGGATTCTGGATATGATTTTGTTTTTTTCCCAGCATGCTCTATTTTAGAAAAGTAGGAAGGGAAGTGAAGCGTCTGTTTGCATTTCTACTGCAGTCACTTGTATGGACATGTCCATGGCTTCTCATGGCAATGCTTGGTAGGTTCCCCTCATCAGTGGGAAATACATTCCAAAACCACTGTGGATACCTGAACCATAGATGGTAGTGAACCCCATGTTTATGTTTCTTCCCATTCATTCTTGCCACAGATTTAATGATCTCAGCCTACATTTGTAGTGGTGGTTATTGTGTTTTTTTGAGACAGGGTCTTGCTGTTCAGGCTGGCTTTGAACTCATTATGTAGTTCAGGCTGCTCTCAAACTCAGCAATTCTCCTGTCTCACCCTCCTGAGTTCTGGGATTATAGGCATGCACCATTGTGAGCAGCAGCATACAATTTAAAAACTTCCTTGTTATGTTGAAAGTTTGTCAGCCCCCTCTCTTCCCACCCTTCTGTCTTTCTCTGTACTGGAAATTGAATCCAGGGTCTTTGCACTGAGTGAACCCCAGTTTTTAAGTTCTTTTTTAAAAAAATTGAGACAAGTTCTCACTAAGTCCCTAAATTGGCCAGGCTGTTTTCTGAAACTGAACTCAACCTTTTAGACTGCTGGGAGTACACATATACACTACTATATTCAACTCATCTTTTCTCTTAAAACAACTACTTTGTAGTTTCTCTTTGGCATACAATATGAAATTTTTCAGTATCAGAACTCATGCAGGTTGAAGATTTTTACTGAGTAAAGTTTACCTGAACATCAACTTTGTGAGACTATGACAGTTGACCTGCTACCTGGGACAGCTACTAGGTAACTAACAGGCAGGTGGTATATACAGTGTGGATACCCTGAAAAGCAATGATTCACATCCTAAGTAGCACAGAATGGAATGGCACAAATTTCATTATGCTATTCACAATGACGAGCAATTTAAAACCTATGATTATTTATTTCTGAATGCCCCACTTGGTGCTTTCAGACTGCATTTGATGGAGGGTAATTGAAACCTTGGGAAGTAGCACTGTGGATAAAGGAAGACTATTCCACCTGTGTGGTTCAGAAGTTTGCCATAAGTTTAGTGACTGCTTTCCATTTCAGGGGATGGTTTCCTGGATTTAGAAGAGGGAGCAGCTCCTTTGGTAGCTGTGAGTTCCACAGCCAAGGTGTAAAGTCACCCTGAACGTTCAATCATCCAAACAAGTCCTTAAGCCATGTTAGATCCTGTAGTCTTTTCAAAGAAGAACTATTTAGATTCTGTTCTCTGAAACTGAACGCAGACAATGTAACAGAAAAGCAGAAAATAAAATATAGAGAAAAAGTATAGTAAATAGGACAAAAGTACAATAGAGACAAATCCAATTTTAATAAAATCTAAACTAGCCTAGATACAGATAAACTATATTTTCAAATTCAATTTTCTGAATAATCCAGCTATTTGCATACATGAAAGCCATAAAAATAACAAAGTGGTACCCAATAATTAAAACAAACTGACATAATATCAAATGCAGAAGTTGCAAAGATTACCCAGCACGAGGGCCTATTTCTTTCTTTTTGTGGTAGTGGACTCAAATCTGGCACCTTTGCACTGAGCTGCATCTCTAGCCCCTTTTTATTTTTTATTCTGAGAAATGTTCTCACTAAGTTTGTTACCCAAGCTGGGCTTGAATTTGTGATCTTCCTACCTCAGTCTTCCTGAGTGCTGGGATCATAGCCATGTGCACTTGGCCCACTTTTATAAATTTTTGGTATTTTTTATTTTTTAAAGAGTAAAAAATAGTATTGAAACAAAAAATTATGAATGATACAGAATTTCACTAACAAAATGATATGAGGGCTAGGAAGACAAGGGCATAAGGGCTACCAGAAAAAAAAAAAAAAAAGCAAAATGATATGCCAGTATTTGTTGTATTGCATAGTGCTGTCTTCAAATTAATTGTTCAGATTATAAAAATGTATAACACAAAGTCGGGTCTTCTATATGCAGTGCTGGCTCCATAGATTATATGTAATGAAAGTACAAACAAAATAGTAATGATATGCGTCAACCTGAGCACAGCGACCTTCTCTAAGAAAGAAGAATGTGGCTGGGCCTTTAGTTATGTCTAATAAACCCAAGGGTATACAGCAAAACGCCTTTAAATATGTATTTATTTGCAGTGCCAGGGATTAAATCCAAGGTCTTGTGCCTTAGATAAGAGCCCCACCCTCAGCTCTATCCCAAGTCCCTAAGAGGTGTTTACACAGCGGTTTAATCTCCGCAGTGAGGTGCTGATGTTAGGAATAGTGTTTTTTTGTACACTTCTGCGGGTCTCTAGCACTTTCTAATTTACAAAATCTAGACCCAGCCAACCAGGCTCTCAGGTGCATATTAACATTGACGCTGACGGGATGGTCTGAAAAGGGGAGATCGGTGGCTGAGGTCACAAGGTCCCTGAACAACGGCGAAGGAATTCAGTCCCGAGAACCCAACGCCACCCCCAGTTAGGTGCTCAGTGAGGGGCGACCTCAGTCCCACCGCGACTGCGGCGTTTCGCGGCGTTCCGCAGCTCTCTGCACTCTCGAGCCGCAGGTTCCGCGCGGGCGGGGCCCAAAGTGGGGCGTGGCCTCCGCTGGGGAGGGCGGGCATGGGGCGGGGCCTGAGGCGGCCCGGGCGGGCCTTGGCCAGCTCCCGGCTGCTCGCTGGCTCTCGGGCAGCGGAGGCTCCTCTGCCGGGTCGCGCTGGACGACGGGCCCGGGCGGCGGCCAGGACGGCCTGCGCACCGACGGCGGCCGAGACGCAGGCTCCCGCCTGTCGCTCCCGCGCCTGCAAGCGGCGCGCTGCGCCATGGCCGCGTCGCCGGGCTCGGGCAGCGCCAACCCGCGGAAGTTCAGCGAGAAGATCGCGCTGCACACGCAGCGGCAGGCCGAGGAGACGCGGGCCTTCGAGCAGCTCATGACTGACCTCACCCTGTCGCGGGTGAGGGCCGGCGGGCGCGCGCGGGTGGGCGGGAGGTCGTGGGCCGGGCGCGGGCGGCCCAGGGCCAGGCGAGGAGCCTGAAGAGCCCGTGGATCCCGGAGGCCGCACGCGCGCGCCGCTCCCACCCGCCCCCGCCGTCGGCGCCAGGCCGTAGCCGGGCGCGGAGATCTGTGCGGGGTCTGACGCCTCGCGGGGCCCGGGGCCGGGGGCAGCCGCGCCTCTCACCCAGCCGAGCTGCCATAGAAGGTCCATGGCGCTTTGTTCAACACCAGCTACTTAGTGACAAGTGACAAGGTGCGTGGCGTGGCCAGCTGCCGAGAGGGTTCCTGAGGGAGGACGCCTGAGGCGCCAGCCGGTCCCGCACCTGACCAGGGCAGGGGACCCTCGCAGCGGGACGAGGTGCACATTCCCGCGGGAGACCTGCGGGCGACTTGCGAGCTCGTGGTCCCTGCTCCCGGAGCCACAGGCGTGTTGTTTTTGGCCATGAGATCGTTTGGGAAAAACTTTTTGAATCTGTTGCCAGAATTTTTTAATTGGAAGATTTCCCCATAAAGTTTAAATGTACTTACTTATATTAAACATTGGGAGGCCGGGTCATTTTCCCCCTGAGTTATTATGTGGCACCTCGGGCTGGAGCCTGGTGGGGGTGCTCCAGCCACCCCACGTCACAGTCCCCCACAGGGAGGCCTTTTATCAAATTTATGGTGATGTTTTCTTTTAGTGGAGTTCAGGAAACAGTGTACTGGCTAATGGGCTGAGAAAATACATAGACGGATCAAAAAAAGATACGGATAAATGCTGAGAAAAAATAATACAGAAAACTAAAGATTTCAAAGTATTTTTTCTTCTGCCCTGTCAGCTTCGCTCATTGCCAATTTGGCATCCATAGGCATTTAGGGTTGTGACCCTGGATGGACTGAGGTATGAATTTGACTGGCTCAGAGCACATGGACAAGAGTGGGTGGGTTATAGCTCAAGATAAATGTTGAGGCCTGTGTTATGTGTTGTTTAGATACATTGTTTATATACAAATGTCTCTGTACGAATGCGTGCACTAGTGTGTGTCTCTGTACCTAGAGCTGGTCCAGTCTTTCATCTAATTCATGAATTTGCTTTAAAAACATCCCTCATAGATGAAGACATGAGTAAGGTACAATATTCAGACTTTTTTGTTTGTTTGTTTGTTTGTTTGTTTTAGAAGATGGGGTCCCATGGTATAGTACAGGCTGGGCCTGAATTCCTCCTACTTCAGCAATCCTCCTACCTCAGCCTCCTGAGTGTGGCAGTTACAGATGTGTGCCACTGCATCCAGCCAAACTCTTCTTTTTTTTTTTGGCGGAACTGAGGATTGAACTCAGACCCTTGCACTTGCTAGGGAAGCGCTTATTCCACTGAGCCATCTCCCCGGCCCCATACAGCCAAACTCTTCTTAAGGCAAGTTTTTATAACTTTTAGCCCTAAATTAATATAATTATATTATGTAAGTATGTTCAAACATAAACTTATAAATAGAGTGCTTCACACATGGCTGTAATCTGAGTACTTGGGAGGCTGAAACAGGAAGACTTCTTGAGTTCAAGGTCAGCCTGAATTATATAGACCCTGGCTCAAAAAGGGGGGGGGCTTTGATTAAAGCTGTAATATAACCATAAAACATGTATAAAATGTACTCAGTTACAAATGCACTAATTTCAAATTAATAATATGAAAAATGGATCTTTTAGGTTTATTTTAATAACAAAATCACAAAGTTGAAACATTTCTTATACAGAGCTTTTAGGTCCCCAAACGTGTGTATGAACTTCCAAGTATCTAAAGATCCCAACAGAGCTGGGCAGGGTAGTGCTTGTAATCCTGGTAATACCAGCATTCAAGAGGCTGAAGCTGGAGGGTAATAAGTTTGAGGCCAGCATGGACTGTGTAGTGAGGTCCAGTCTCAAAAAACAAAAACAGAAACCAGAAAGCAAACAAAAATAAAAAGATCCCAACTAGAAAAGATTCCATTTAGCTCATTCTTCATAATCGCATGACCAGTGTATAGACTCATCCTTACCAACCTGCGTACTGTACAGATATCACTCATGGATCTAGGACCTCTTTCATCTCTGAGTCTTTTGTTAAACTTTAAGTCCTTCTCTGCGTTGTCACAGCCAAACCTTAGACTTGGACTCAATTCCTGTTTATCCTGTAAGGGAGGTAGACCAGATACTTTTTTTTTTTAAATTTTTATTTTTTATTTATTTGAGAGAGAGAGAGAGAGAGAGAGAGAGAGAGAGAGAGAGAGAGAGAGAGTGTGTGGTGTGTGTGTGTGGCCAGCTCAGCCCACCAGGGGGCGGGCTGGCTGGCATGTGGTGCTGGGGGATTGAACCGCGGTCCCTGATGCTTTGCCAAGCTTGTTCTAAGTAGGTGCCTTAGACCACTGAGCCATCTCTCCAGCCCCGGTAGACCAGATATTGGAGAATTTTTTCATCCTGATTGTAGAGGTTCAGGATGCAGCGGGGCAATTCTTGGGGAGGGTGTGTTTCAAGGGTTACTCAGTGACACTGGGTGGTAAGGAGAGGGTGATTGTGGGGGCAGGTGAGCCTGGGAAGAGGCTGTCAGGTTTTGAGTACTTGAGTGTCACCTATGTATTCAGTGAGGTAAGTGTGTGTGTGTGTGTGTGTGTGTGTGTGTGTGTATTTAGAGGGTGAAGACATGGTGCTTTCCTTCAAAGGTGTTATTAGCTTGTTTGGCAAATGTGAAGCCTGTCTTGTGTGCCCAGGGTTCTGATGGACACTTGGCATATAGTAGTAGCAAGCGAGCAGAGCAATCTTCTGACAGGTTTTAAGGTCTAGTGTGGAAGTCATTTAATGAGAAAAGACACCTTTAGATGGTCCTATGTTATGCAAGGAAAGCAGCTGGAGCTCTTTCCGTGAGATCATTCAGCAGCACTGCCCCATCTCTGCTCTGCAGCCACAGCCTGGACCTGCAGAGTGGCTGTCTCATGAGAGGGCTGTGTGTGTGGCCTTCAGCATGCCAGTCCCCCTGCTGCTGTGGCTGTTCGCATAGTGGTTTCAGAGTGTTTTTCTTACTTCCTACCTATCAGCTGCAGGCCTGGGAGTCAGTTTTGCTGCTGGGAAGCCCCTAATTTCAAGGGCAGGTAGAGGAGTAAGAAGCCAGGGGATAATGTGGAGAGGGAGCATGTGGAGCCACTCAGCCACCAAGCCTGGTGCTGCCAACTTGGTCTGCCATGGTTAGAGGTGTTCTTTGGGTCCCTGGTGACTTTGGCGGGGCCATTGCATTCACAGGATGCTGGTAGGGAGTAGTTTGTCAGGCTGAGGAGTGGGCAGGAGGAGATGGTGACAGATGTGGCACTTGTGATGAGAAGCACAAACTCAATGCACCTGCCTAGATCACTGATTTGGCTGGACAGTGTGGGAAACCTTTAACACAAGCAGCAGAGATCTTGTGGGATAGCGAGAACCGTGGAGAGGAAGAGTGAGAAAAGTATTGGATCTGGGCTGAATATGGAGTGCTCTCCCTCTGCCAGGCACTGTCTTATCTCATGTAGCCCTCAAGATGACCTTGTGTACATTTCTAGGATTTCCCGATTTTTATTCTTTTAGGGGCAAGTTTTCACTACATAGTTTAGTCTGTCTTTGTATTCACTGTGTATTCCAGACCAATCTCCAACATGCATCGATCCTCCTACCTCATCCTCCTGAGTGATGTGGTTACAAGTATGTGCCACCTCACACAACTTTAGAATTTCTCTAATTTGAGACTTGGAGAGATACATTTGTATGACTTGTAAGTGGCAGAACTGGGGCTCAGATCTGGCCGTCACCCAAATGCTTATATACACAGCTACTTTTACATCTTAAGAATCTCCAATCGTATCAGCAGCATTTGTTGAAAAGACATTGCTGTACGCATTGAACTGCTGTGGAAAACCAGCTGGGTATGTATTTTTGGGTCTATTTTTAGACTCCTTTTTTCTGTTCCATTGATGTATAGATAACACCAACACACCATCTAGATTACTGTAGCTTTATCTTGAAATCAATTAATTTAAGTCAATTTAACTAATTTAAAAATTACAGCCAGGCATGTTGACATTTGCTTGTAATCCCAGCACTTGGGAAGCTGAGGCAGGAGGATCAATATAAATTTCAGGCTCGCCTAAACTATACTACATAGTGAGACCCTGTTCCCCCCTCAAAAAAAAAAAAAAAAAAAAAAAAAAATCGTAAGTTTTTTTGTTTTGTTTTGTTTTTTGGTAGAACCAAGGATTGAACTCAGGCCTTTGTGCTTGTCAGGCAAGCGCTTATTCTGCTGAGTTATCTCCCCAGCCCCCCAAAAACCATACGGTGTGGTGGCACACTTCTGTAGTCCCTGCTACTTGGGAGCCTAAGGTAGGAATATCATAAGTCTTAGTCCACAAGTTTAGATCATAAGTTTTAGGCCCGGTTAATTTAACAGCTCTTTTTTTTTTTCTTCAAAATTTTATTGATAAACAGAAATCAATTGAAAATTGATTTCAAATCAAATCAGAAGTGCAGTTTCAACAAATAATACACTGCATATATTCTTCTTAGTGGTTAATTGCTGTACAAGATGCGGACTTGAGATCTTATTTACAAACACCATTAGATCAAATCATTCTATTCATTAAGAGAATGCAACTATATATCTATCCTAACCACTTTGAATACACAGATACAAAATGGACATTCATCGGTATACCCCATTTTTTCTAAGTTCCGTTATTGAATATTATAGGTGTATAATTTAACAGCTCTTAAAATGAAAATTTAACAATATTATCCTTAAGTTTCCCAGGTTTCCTTGAACGTGTAGTCTTTCTGCCGCAACCTCCTGACTAGCTGGGGTTACGTGGGTACACCACTGTGCTCAGGCAGTCTCCTTCTTTTTAAAATTAACAAACAACTTCTTGGTAATACTGAGGCTTGAACTCAGGGCCTTCACACTGAGCTGCAGTAGTTGGGTGTGGTGGTACAAGCCTGCAATCCCAGCACACTGAGCTATAGGTCTAGGTCTTTTTTTTTTTTTTTTTTTTTTTTAGGACAGGGTTTACAGGGTCTCACTACATAGATTGGACTCATAGTGATCCGCCTGTGTTCAGCCTCCCAAGAGCTGGGATTATGTGTGAGCGCCACCACGCCCAGTCTCAATCACAGGGGCAGGGCAGGGGATTGAACCCCGGCCACTCAGTATATATTATTCTTAATTTCGAGACAGATTCTTTCTAAGTCCCTAAATTGCCCATGTTTTCCTTAAATTGGGGTCTTCCTGCCTCAGCCTCCCAGAGTGTTGGGATTGTATACATGCGCCACCACCACACCTGGTTTGAAATTGCAATTTTTATCTATTTATTTATTTTGTATTTTAGGTAAGGGTCTACAGGGTGTTCAGGGTCTCACTACTAGATCACACTCGGTGATCCGCCTGTTTACAGCCTCCTAAGAGCTGGTTTTACAGGTGGGCGCCACCACACCCAGCCTCAATCACTGTATCAGCAGCACACCCCAGGGGCAGGGTCTCCCTCTCTCCTCCCTTTCTCCACTCCCTCTCTCCCCCCTCCCTCTCTCTCCTCTTCCCCTCCTTCTCTCCCCCCTCCCTCTCTGCCCTCCTCCCCTCCCTCTCTGCCCCCTCCCTCTCTCCCCCCCTCTCTCCTCCTCCCTCTCTCCTCCCTCCTTCTCCCTTCCCTGTCCCTCCCCCTACCTCTGCTCCCTCTCTCCCTCTCTCTTTCTGTCTACCCTTCTCTCCCTCCATCCCTCCCTTCCCCTTTCCCTCCTCCCTCCCTCCTTCCCCTCTCCCCCCCCCTTTCCTTTTTCCCTCTCTTTTCTTTCTTTCTAGTGCAACAGGCCCTGAAAACCCTGGACTTGGGCCCTTGGGAGATAGAATAGTGCCAGGCATAGGGGAAGGTAAGTCCCCAGATGGAGTTAGAATTGAGTTTGGGGCAGGCTTTGTGACAGCTCTCTCAAGGTGGGAGTGTGGCATGTGTTCCTCTTAGTTTGCTAGTACCTGGGTTAATACCTGACACATAGTTCAGTTTTGTATAAGTGAGTAAGTTGTATGGTACTAGGACTTGAACTTGGGGCTTTTGCACTGAACTATATCCTCATTCCTTTAAAATTTATTTATTTATTTATTTATTTATTTATTTATTTATTTATTGAGACAGCATCTTGCTAAGTCACTTAAGCTGCACAGGCCGGGCTTGAACCTGTGATCTTCCTGCCTCAGCCATCAGAATGCTAAAATTGTAAGAATGTAGGGCTGGGGAGATGGCTCAGTGGAATAAGCGCTTCCCTGGCAAGCGCAAGGGCCTGAGTTCAAGCCCTGGTTCCAAAAAAAAGAATGTGTTACCACATCCAGCTAGAATCAAAGACCTCAGATCATAGTGGTTGAAAATTTTGTCTAGAGAATTTGAAGGATAGTCAAATGCTTCTGATACGTTCTTTTAGAATGTTAAAATTGGAAGTGGAGATAACTTCTTATGATTCAGTTCTTAGATGGAAAAGCTCACTGTGTTCTCATATTTGATTCTGAGATCTGGGTTTTGATTAATGTAACTGTCTCCCAGTGTGTGTGTTTGAGAGGTCAAATATCATGGGTGTAAGGAAGTTAAAGACACCAAAGAGCTTTGTATAGCTTTAGGATTTTTTTTTTTTTCCTCCGGATGCCTTCAGGGCAGGTTTGGCTGACTGGAGTTGTGGGGATTGAACCACAGCAACCTGAGCCTGAATGCTTTGTTGAAGCAGCCACTTAAAGAACTGAGCTAAGGGGCAGACCCCCAAAAGGGCAGAAGGATTTTTTTTTTTTTTTTTTTTTTTTTGGGTATGGCTTTAAATCTTCCAAACAGACCCAAGTTCTTGTCTTTTGGTGATGCTTATTGAATATGTAGAGTGATGCCATGTCTGGGATTTCTTTCAGTGGTGCTCTGTGGGTAATGGAGGGGGTAAAGGTGAAACAAGATTGGGCCTGAGTTAGTGATTATTAAAGCAGGAAGTTGGATAGCTGGGGTTTCATTGTAGTCATCTCTATTTGCTATATGCTTGAAATTTTCATCATAAATGTTAAAAAACACAGAACATTTCATTTCATAAACTCAACAGCACGTTGGTTTGTAGTCTTTTTGTGTATTTGGGAAGATTAGGATTGAAGTGGGCAAAGCACTGCTGACATTGCAGGGTCCATCCTGGCGCTCACATTGGGTGGTTTTGTTCTTATTAGACAAAGATGGAGGACTGAAAGGGTGAGAGTAAGCTTTGGGGGCACCCCTCCGGACCTTCTTCTCTGTAGGAACTCTGGCAGCAAAGGGCGATGTAACTGCAGAGCTAATTCATCTTAGAAATAAAATTCGTAAAGGCCAGACTGGACCACTTTGGGGTTTATAAGAACTATTACCAGATTACTGGCTTTTGAAAAATGAACCAATGAAGAACTTAGAGAAGAAAGACTTATTAAATCAGTGGGATACCATTTTATACCTGTGGACTCTGCCTCCTTCAAAAAAAGCCCATAACCAGAGATAATCTGTCTTTGGAATGTGCTCTGAGTAAGTAATTCTGAAGAAGAAAGTTATTGTAGCCATTAAAAGCAATTATATAATCACATTGAGAAGGCTTACAATGTAAACAGGCAAGATGCTTCCTATGTTATGATCTCAAGTATGCTGTTATTACAAGTAATCATAAATGGACAGTGGGAAAGATCATGGAGGGATTCTTTTTTTTTTGGCTGGCTTAAGGCTCAGGCTGCGTTAAGGGTGGGTCTAGTGTGGAATGTGGAGCTGGGGATCAAACCATGGTCCCCTGCATCAGACTGAGTTTACCAACCAGGTGCTTTAAACAGCCAAGCTAATGCTCAAGCCCCCAAGATCATGGAGAAGTAAAATAGTTAATCTGCTAGAGTTGAAATCTTAGCATAGTTTTTTTGTTTTTTGTTTTTTGTTTTCAGAACCAGGGATTGAATTCAGGCCCTTGTGCTTGCCAGGGAAGCGCTTATTCCACTGAGCTGTCTCCCCAGCCCCTAGCTGTTGTTGTTGTTGTTGTTGTTTTTTTAAAGAAATCCTTTGTATGAATTTAATTTTTAAGAATGAAAACCATAAAGTAAAAACCAAACAACAGTTGTAATCTAAGATCACAAATCATTTCACTTTTTTTTTTTCCAAATCAAATTGGTAGGACAGTTTCAATAATTAACACATTGCATACATTCCTCCCAGTGGTTAATTGCTCTACAAGATGCAGACATGATATCCTATCTACAAACACCCTTAGAACAAATCACTCTATTCATTAAGAGAATGTAACTATATATCTATCCCAACCACCTTGAATACACAGATACAAAATGGACATTCATCTGTATACCCTTTTTTGTTAAGTTCCGTTATTTGATTATAGGTGTGTTAACTCAGCAAAATAATCCAAAAGAGTTCATTAGTCCCTAATAGTATTGGGTCTTCCACTTCACTGGCAATGTCAGAAATTGTTGACCTGAGTCCCCTATAGCTCAACATAACAGCATGGCTTTACTTCTTATATATCATTTTTATACTTTTCTGCTGGATGGTTAAGACCAAGGTAAAGCAGGACCTATGCAACAAGAGTTGTAGCTTTTGGGTCTGATAAGATCAGTGAAATCCCTTTAGGATTTATCTTGAGATCCTGTTCCTCAGATTGTTTCTTGCTTTTTTTTTTTTTTTTTTGTATTTAGGACAAAGTGTACAGGGTGTACAGGGTCTCACTGCGGAGATCTGACTTGCAGTGATCCACTCATTTACAGCCTCTGAGTGCTGGGATAATAGGCGCGCACCACCATGCCCAGTCTCAATTGCTCAGTGCGCCCTGGGGGCAGGGCCAGCACCTCAGGCATGGAGATTAAACCCCCAACCCCTGTGCCTGCCTAAGCAGGTGCTTTAATCTGCTGAGCTATTTGGCCGGCCCTCCTATCATCTTGTTCAGTGAAATTCTGTAATATTTCTTATGTTTTTGTTGCTATTTTTTATTGTCTTTAAAAAAAAAAGAACAAAATTAAAAAAAAAAAGAAAAAGAAATCCTTTGGTTTTGGAAGTACTGAGGATTGAACCTAGGGCATAAATCACATCACACATCCCTGGGGAGTGCTCTACTACTAAGCTGCATTCCTAGCGTAAGAGATTTTGCCTTATTAAAGATTGTGCCTGAGCTGGGCAGAGTGGCACACACCTGTAATTCCAGCACTTGGGAGGCTGGGGCAGGAGTTGAGGCCAGCCTGGGCTACATAGTGAACTCAAGGCCAGCCTGAACTACACAACAAGACCCTGTCTTAAAAAAAAAAAAAAAAAAAGCACTGAAAATCTGAAGGTTATGATCATTTAAGTAGAAAAGAAATTGAAACCAATGGCTGGGGATATAGCTCAGTGGAATAAGTTCTTGCCTGGCAAGGGCTAGGTCCTGAGTTCATCCCTGGTACTGAAAAGAAAGAAAGAAAGAAAGAAAGAAAGAAAGAAAGAAAGAAAGAAAGAAAGAAAGAAAGAAAGAAAGAGAGAAACCAAGACTTGCATTCTTGAACCATTCCACTAAGAGTACTGCACTTTGATACATCTTTCAGACTGCTGCTGTCATCTCTGAACATTCTTGAAATGACTTTGTTTCCAGGTTCAGTTTCAGAAGCTTCAGCAACTGCGCCTCACACAGTACCATGGAGGCTCCTTACCAAATGTGAGCCAGCTGCGGAACAGCACCTCGGAGTTTCAGGTACTAACACATTGTACTTTCTTGACGCTGAATGGAGTGTAAAGAGATAGGTAGAGATTAGCCCTTAAAAGATTAGATTTTGAAGGTTAATCTGGGCTTAGATACATTTCAACCTTCTGGGAAGTGTGTCAGCGTTCACTTTCATAGTTTCTTTGCACAATTCTGCCCCTTCACAAATGGTCAGAGGCAGCAGCATCACTTGGGATATAATGTGAAGAGTGTCTCCTTTTCATGTGTAAAGACCTGGGCTTGATCTCCGACACTGGAAAACAAACAAACAAATGTACTGTATATAATGTGAGTCACGTATATGATGTATAATTTTCTCGTACCACACTAAAGAATAATAAACTGGTAGAATTAATTTTAATGTCATTTAAGTAATTTGAATAATTATTTAACCCAGTATATCCAAAATATGATCATTTCAACATGTAACTCACAAGACATAATATATTTCACATAATTTTGGTACTAAACTGTTCAACATTTTGTGTAATTCATGTTTTAAGCACATACCAAGTGGGACTGGCCACATTTGTGTAGCTTCGTGTGACTAATGCCTACCTCATGGACAGCGCAGGCTTAAGATGTAGATAAGTGGGCTGTACTGCATTTAGATTAGGGCAGTATCCAGTGCTTTAATCATTTACTCTAAGAGCATTTTTCAAAACAATGTAGAATGGGTGTTTAAGACAATGTTATCTGGTGCTGTTGTGTTAAGATCTAAATTAAGCCTACTTTGGTATCCTGGTCTCTGAAAAATTAAGAGGTGGTCATTCTGATTACACAATTTAATATGTAGTCTTAGAGTTGAGGTACAGATTTTAAGATGAAGTATAACTTGATTCCTCCAAGTGCCTTTCCCTTCTAAAATCATGATTATCTTTCTTTGTTTTAAAAATTGAGTTGTGGTGATACACAACATACTTTGAACATTTTAAGTTTTGAATTTTTAGATCAGGATGCTTAACCTGTAAAATCTATGTCTGATATTCCAAAATATGAACAACTCTGAAATTTCAGTACTTTGTGGTTTCACATTTTTTGGACAAGGAATACTTGACCTATACTTTTTCTTTTGTTGAGTTTTGAGACAGGATCTTGCTATGTAGTTCAGACTGGTCTTGAACTCACTATGTGGCCCAGTTGGACCTGGTTTTGTCTTCTATTTTTTACTTTGAAAGAATCACAGACTTACAGAAAAACTGGACTTTATAGGTACAAACAGCACTTTTCTGTGAAAGTTGCTGACCTGATGCCCTATCACCCCAAAATATTTCACAGGTACTTTCTGCAAGTAAGGACAGTCCTATCTAACTAAAACAGCCATCAACATAAACAAATTAGCAATGATACATTACTGTTATCCTCAGATCTCATTGTCCTTCTGCAGTTCTCTGTAGCAAAAAGACCCAGTTCAGAACCACACATATTTAATTATAGTCTGTAGTCTTCTTTAATCTGGAACAGTTGGGGGCCCCTTTAGTTTGACATTTTTTACTTTGGTGGCCTTGCCACTTTCAGAGGTTACAGGCCAGTTTTTTTTTTAAAGAATATCCCTGAGTTGGGGTTTATCTGTTGTGCCTTTGTGCATAGATTTATATCATGCCTCGTCAGCAGGAATAACACAGAGTGGTGCTGTTGTTGTCACATTAGGTATGGGGTTTGGATTTGTCCTATTGCTGATTTTTTATCAACTGGCATGGCTCTTGTAGGCTTCTCTATTCCAAAGTTACCCCCCGATACATACTTTTGAACCCAGAGCCTTATCATTGAGCTACCCCCTAGGCCTTTTTATTTTGAGATGAAGTCTCACTTAGTTGTCCAGCCTGGCCTCAAACTTGTTATTTTCCTGCCTGAATCGCCTATATGGTATTACAGTTGTGTGCCACCAGTGGTTTTCATCTCGATGCTTAGTCTCTTACTAGGCCAGTAGGAGCCCTCTTCCAAACAGAAACATTCATGATAAACTGATGAAAAAAGAGAATCCCAGAAGCATAACATTTTTAAAAGAAATTACTTATTTACTTATTTGGTACAGGGTCTCACTATGCAGTTCTCAGACTTGTAGTGATCTTCTGTTTTAGCTTCCTCAGTGCTGGGATT